CAAAAAACGAACCCAATTTCAGGATCACGGTTGATAAACACAAACTTCCCAATCCCTATGAGATCAGGCCCAGCCGGCAGTGACCCATGTACAAGATATGTACATACACATGGACACCGCAGAGTGTTGCCACGGCCAGTTGGGACAGTACCAGTGGTCCGTAAGAGAAAAACAGATTCAAGGTTTGTTCAAGGTAAGCTGGAAGTTAATAAAACGTACATGTCGGGAGTTCAAAAACAAAAAAAAAGATTTGAAAAAAAACATTTGCTTGGTCATGATTGATCCGTCCATAAATCAATTGGATTTAGCTTCTTTTTCCATAACCGAGCGGCATCCATCACCCGACGGCGTCTCCCTGGGACACCGGGAGGCGGGGCCTGGTGCTCGCGCTCTATCGATTGTGAAGCTGCAGCGCTGGAGAGTGATTGATCAGGGTTGCATTATTACCTGTCGATTGTGTGGCCACTTTAGAGTGACAGAACGGGCTTACGCTCTGCAGACGGGCGGTGGAGAGAATAATATGTCAAGGGGCTACATGGCAGGCGTCCATGAAACATCCTCCTCCACCACCTCTCCACCACCTCTGGAGGATCACTCAGCATTTCAGCTTCAACTGGTGTGTGGACGGACGCAGAAAAAATGTAATAATTGCAGTTTCACTTGTCCTAAATCGTCCCTGTGACAGACCGGCAACGCATTTAAACTCAAACTGAATATCACTGACTGTTTTTATTTTTTTTGTGCCCTTTGCATCTTCAGAGATTGGAGAATTCAAATGGCAGCCAAAAATATGAACTTCTATAGCCAGGAATGTTGAAATGCCATAGCATTTAACACGTTCTGTTTAATAACTTGGTGGGTTTGTGATGATTTAAAGTAATAAAGAAAAAATCTATATTAATCCACTTTTTGCTGCAGTGATTAGCTGCTGCCTCAAACTTTTCCTACTTGCTGCGGTCAGAGAAATGAAGATACCAGACGGACCGGCTTAGTTTGGCAAACACCACGAGGCAATTCGGGACCTTGGGAAGCTCGTCTGTCCTTTGATTCTGTGAACTCATAAAACCGGTAAAAAAAAAGAAGGTGAGGCCGCAATCAACAGCGCTCTGAGTGATGAGATCAGAGACGCTGTTTGATTTGGGAGCTCAAAGGGATCTGCTGATCGGAGGGAAATGGCCTTTCAGAGTGGAAGAGCGGGTGGGGGGGCGGCAAGGGAGGGGTCGGGTGGAACACGCCAGAGGAGTTACCCTCCAAACTGACATTACAGTTTACATTACTCTACAGGTCATCTAGCTGACGCTTTTATTCAAACATTACATTACATTCTTGCCCGGGGAGCAATTAGGGGTTCGGTGTCTTGCTCAGGGACACTTCGACATGGGGCAGCCGGGGGCTGGAACCGCCAACGGTTGCGGTTCCCGGTGCACCGCTTCCGCGCCACGTCGACCCGTTGATCAACCGTCACCGAGCCACCGGCGCTGGACGTGGAGGCAGAACATTAGTGACCCACTCTGTATTTCAAACATAGATAATAAGGCGTGGGTTAAATGGGATGGATGAATGGATAGGATGGAAAATGCAATATTTTCGGGCTGAACAAAAGCATCTTGATGTTTGTTTTTTAGTAAGTAAGGCAATTGCAATAATGAGACAAAATAATCACTTTAGTCTCTTTTAAATGGTTCAGCGGTGGATTGATCTCGCTCTCCTTTTTCTCACAGACTTTCAAAGATCAGATGAGACTTTTTGCCCCTGGTGCCTGCGTGTCGGCCTTAGATGGATTTCATTTGGATTCCGCTCCACTGTGCGTTGGCCTTTATACGCGGCGCTGTGCTCCGAATTCAGATTCTCTGCTCCGTCTCGTGCGGCTCGGCTCTCCTCGGCTTTCCCCGCCGCTGTCTTTGCGTTTCGCTCCGCTCCGTGTGCGCAAATCAAACGTTAATATCCAATAAGCATCATCACACAGCTCTCAGCCCTGCCGAGTAACAAAAAGGAAAGAGAGAGAGAGAGAGAATGGGCAGATGAATGTGTTTGCGCTGAGATTAGCATGCATCCTAAACCCATAAAGCCTGCAAGGAATCACAGGGGTGGAGGGGAGAATTCAACAAGAGGAGGAGACGGAATGAAGAGATGCAAAAGATGGCGGTAAACAGACGGCAGAAGAAAAGAAGGAGAACGGGGCAAAATCAGGAGGGAGCAGAGAGAACGTCAGAAAGCAGAGATAGTGAAATCCACAGAGACACGGGGAGAAGAAACAAATGTAAGCCCCCGAGGATTAACTCTCTCATTTCTCTATGGGAAAGAATGGGAGGGGGGGGGTTCCACCTCCTATCCTCTCAGCGCCCCTTTGATATCTCTCTCTGTTCCATATTCTAATATCTTTAGTCTCTATTCATCATGTTGGAACCGACTCGCTGAGCTCGCTAAAGCTTGAACACACATGGCTAACCTAGCTGGACACAAATCCCTCCCTGTCACTTCTCGGTCAACGCCGTACCGCTCTTTGTCTCCTCGTAATTTGGCCTCATTGCAGTGGACTTCAAATCGTTTTTACCTGCGTCTTCTCCATCCGACAAACACGCAGCGGCCCTCCTCATTGTTGCGGCCGGTTTAACGAGCTACGCTAATACGACGAACAGGCTTCCCGCTGATCGGCTGATGGCGCATTCGCAGCCATGCAATTAAACAGTTTTCACAGCCGGCGCGTGGAAATAAAAGATAACGACAGAACGAGGGCGAGTTGGTGTCATTTGAGAAGTCAGCCGGAGTGGTTTTACAGAAGAAACGGTGTGGGGGCGGGAGGGAGCAGACAAGTTAGACTTCATGCTTTAAGCTCTGCGAAAGGCTGTCGAGCCAGTGTTTGGTTTGTCCCTTCTGGGCCACCGTAGGAACCCGGTGAAGACGACCTGCACCCCATCCGAGGATACAAAGGTCTCATTTTGAGCTGAAGAATTACTTTTTAGCATCTACTGTGAATAGATGAATCCGTCAGTGTAGCCGGGTGTGCTTTGCTGTTAAGCATTCAGCTCAGGTTGGTTCCTCTCGTCCTGCATGCGTGTGGACCGCAGTGCCAAGCGGTACGCTCACGCACTGCACACAGAATAAACAGTTCCACAGCTGTGGTGTGGAACAGGTTTTAAAGCCAAATCTCACTCTGACTCTCTCCTCTCCCCCTTCTCTCCACGTCTTCCCTTCACTCCAGTTCTAGCAGCTCTAGTTTCACGTCTTCTGCATTTGACTAGTGCTGATATTCTGCAGATCCTCACAACTTGAATGTAAAGACAACCGTCTTTATAACAGTCTGCATAAGATCCGGCCGCGGTGCACTCACAGCGACCTCACACACTTTATTGCAGGAGTAGAAGGAGTTTTTCTTTCCGTGGTTATGTGGCCTCTCTCTTCTTCATCTCTTTGTGGTCGTTCGTCCCCGCTCCCCGAGTCTTCAAGAATCCAAAGTATTTTATTTTTCCTTTAGCCTAAAAACAGTTCCAGACGCCGTTTCCTGCCCCCCTCGCTCCATTTCTCGCCCTCCCTTAGGGGCTATAGACCAAAACCACACACACAAAGAGATGGAGTGAGAGAGAGAGAATGAGCTACAAGGAAAGTCTCAGGTTTTGCTTTCTTTTCCACCCCCCCCAATTTCTTTTCCAGGAACTGGTGTGCCACTCTTTTCTCATGATGAGCGGCGTCCCTCCCCCTCGTTTTGA